AGAGAGCATTGGGATGTAAGGGAAATCAGCAGGCAGGAAGTAAGGAGCTGGAGAAAGGTCGACTTACTGGTGGCTGGGTGGGAGTGCCAGGGCACTTCTTGAGCAGGCAAGGGAAGAGGGCTGCAGGATGAGCGCACGGGGTTAATCAAGAAGCTCCTGGAGGTCATGGCCTGGATGAGGGAAGAAGGAGAAAACTACGCATACATCTTGGAGCACGTGGATATGAAGGGAGATCCACGAGAACCGGTGCGAGCCGTGAGGGAGATGGTAGAGGCACAGCTAGGGAAGGGAGTGAGTTGGGATGCAGCCCTGCACGGAGCACGATGTCACCGGACACGGTACTACTGGCAGAACGTGCTACCAGAGGAAGAGCTGCGTGCAAGACTGTCTAGGGTGGGGAGGGATGACCGGAGGATAGTGGAGGATATCCTGGAGCCGGGTCGCGTGGCAGCTCCAGTGTGGAAGCCGGACCATCCCCTGCAGCACCAGTGTATCAGGATAGGGGAGGCACGACGAGCCTTGCCGACGCTGGTCGCCTACCCAGGAGCAAGAGGGTTCGTTGAGGTGGATGGCAAACCAGGCCCAGGGATGATATATGACCACAAGAGGAAGAGGTGGGAGGAGCCGACAACTCTGAAGAGAGAATTGGCTATGGGTTATCATGCGGGAGCGACAGCAGCACTAGGTGTAAGTGAGGAGGCAAGGAGGGCGGCAGTGGGGAGAGCAATTGATCAACACTCACTGAGATGGCTGATTGGAGAGATGAGAAAGGGGGCAAAGGGGCCTGGAGGTAAGAAGGCATGGGGGGAAAGGGGGTTGCGGAAGCAGCCAGCGTACTCAGCGGTGGAGCTGAAAAAGGAAGTAGGGGCGGAGCCGAGGCAAGAGAAGCTGAATGTCACCAAGGGCCCAGAGAAGGAATGGGAGATAGGGGCAGATGTGGAGGCAGGGGCAGCATAGGCGATCAAGCAGCTGCTGAAGGCGCACAGGGGCACATTTGCATACAACCTGCAGGAGCTGGGGCAGTACAAGGGCGGGGAATTAGAAATAAAGCTCACGACGGAGATATCGACTTACCAGCGCAGGAGGCGCATGAATGCTGAAGATACAGCCATCTGCAAAGAGAAGTGTGAGGAGTTGCTGGCAGCAGGAATCATCCGCCCATCCGAGTCTAGTTACGCAGCGGCCACAGTGGTAGCAGCCAGGAAAGATTTGACCGGCGCGGTTCTGTCACGACGGATGTGCGGGGCATACCAGCAGCAGCGTGTTATATCGACGATGTGCTGATCTTCAGCAAAACGGACATGCAGCATGTGGAGGACCTGAAGCGGACGCTAGGGGCGATAGCAGCAGTAGGACTCACTTGCCACCCAGACAAGTGCAAGATAGCAAGGAGGACAGTGGCGTATCTGGGATTTGAGCTGAAAGGGGGCAGGCTGGGTATTCAGGAGGCGAAGGTTAAGGTACTGGACAAGCTGGCGCCGCCGAAGGACAAGTCAGGGCTGAGAGCGTTGCTCAGCTTCCTAAACTACTATAGGAAGTTCGTGCCGAACTTCAGCCGGCGAGCGAACCTTCTGAATCAACTGCTCAGGGAAGGAAAGCGATGGGAGTGGGGAAAGGAGGAAGAGGCGGCCAGACATGATCTATTAGAGGCAGTACGAACAGGCACACTGTTGCAGATACCCAGGGCAGACGCTCCCTTCACGCTTTACACCGACTGGAGCTGTATGGGGATGGGGGCAGTCCTGTGCCAGGAGATCGAGCGAGAGGAGCGAGTAGTGGCATTTGCCAGCCGCAGCTGCAGCCCCACCGAGGCAAATTATTGTTCGTATGAAGGCGAGGGGTTGGCAGCTGTATGGGGTATCAACCATTTCAGGGTCTACCTGCAGGGGCGTAGGTTCGTGCTGGTAACCGACCATCAGCCTTTGATGTGGCTGATGACAAACCAGGAACTGACGGGACGGAACGCCCGCTGGCCAATCAAGCTGCTGGGATACGACTTCGAAATCCGCCACCGCCCGGGAAAGACCCTCCAGCATGCTGACGGTCTGTCTAGGAACCCTCCACCTGTGCAGCCCGCGGCGCAGCCGGTAGCCGTAGCACAGGTGCCGGCAGCTGGCTGGGGGCAAGAGAAAGTTGAGAAGAGGCAGCTAGATGTCTGGGAGGATACCGAGACTCTGGAGTGGAAAAAGGGAGGGAGGACAGAGGGCGAGGAGGCCAGTGAAAGGGCAAGGGCCATGGGGCAGCATTACCGTTGGTATCAAGAGCAGCTACAGCTTCGCACAAGTGAGGGATGGAAGATAGTGCCACAAAAGAAGGATAGGGAAAGCATCATGCGGCGGGTGCATGGGAAGCTGGGGCACTACGGAACGGCACGCACCAATCAGCTGCTGAGCAAGATGTACTGGTGGGCTGGGATAAGGAGGGACGTCAAGGAGCTGGTAGATGAGTGTGCAGCCTGCAGGCGTAACAAAGCAGCACTGGAGAAGGCAAGGGAGGAGCTGCAGTCACTGCCAATTCGGGGATTGGGCTACCGCTGGTCGTTAGATTTGGCTGGGGAATTACCTCTGTCCAAGAGAGGCAGGCAATACATACTCGTGATGGTGGAGCACACTAGCAAGTGGGTAGAGGCCAGGGCACTGCCGAGCAAGAACAGGGGTTGATTGCAGAGGCGTTCGTGGAGCAAGTGATTACCAGGTTTGGGGCGTGTGGGGAGGTGTTAACTGACCAGGGTACCAAGTTCAAGGGCTGCTTCGAAGAGACTTTGCAGGAGCTGCAGATAACTCACCGAGTGACATCAAGGTATCACCCCCAGTCAGATGGGTTAAAAGAGCGGCTGATTCAGACGCTAAAGAGAGGGTTGCGGGCCTACGGGGAGACGAACAAGAGAGGATGGGACCAGGAGCTACACTGGATCCTTGCGGGTTACCGCTTTGCCAAGCAAGCAGCGTTGAGGGACATGTCGCCCTACCACCTGCTGTACGGGAGGCACCCCGTCCTACCCGTGCTCTGCAGCCTGAGAAGCAGGGGGAAGGCAGGAGCGGAATCATCACATACACCAGGAGGAAGAAGAGGCAGACAGACGGCACTGGGGCAGGCAAGCAGGCATGAGAGGATGAGGGTGAGAGAAGAAGTGGAGGCACAGGGAGAGAGTGAGGGAATGGGTTGGAATCACGACACCTCGCGATGCTGAAGGAGCTACTAGATGCTGCCTTTGAGCTGCGCGAGATCAGCCCGGTCGAGAAGTACTTCGAGCTGGTGGTTGTGCGCGATCAACCGGCGAGGAAGCTGTGGCTTCACCAGCAGGCCTGATCAACAAGCTGCGTCGGCAGTTCATCGATGAGGAGCAGACCGGTCGAGTGCCGAAGACGCCGCTCTCCGTAGACGCCTACATAGGACTGACGTTTGACGACGAGGAGGCTCAGTCGCGCGAAGAGGAGGAATACCGGCAGAAGGTCGGCTCGTTGCAGTACGGGGCAACCACGACGAGGCACCGCATTGCCTTCACGTGCAGCAAGCTGGAGAGCGGCCTGGCAATGCGGAGCGACAATCAGTGGCGCGAGGTTGATCGCTGCCTACACTATCTCGCCGACACCCGTGACGCCGCCCTGGAGTTCGACGGCGGACCGGCCGCTGTGTCTGGTCGGCTATGCAGACGCCAACGGCGCTGGCGACGAGTAGAACCGCAGCAGCACGAAAGGCTACGTGTTCGTCTTCGGCGAGGCCGCCGTCTTCTGAGCGAGTCAGCGCATCAAGTGCAAAACGCTCTCGTCGACTGAGTTTGATTACGTCGCGGCCACCAAAGCCGGCAAGGAGGCACGCCGACAACGCTTCCTCCTCGCCGAGTTCCAGCTGCTCAACGCTGGGAAGCCGACCGTGCTGCATGTGGACAACCAGCCGGCCATCACGATCGTAGAGAGCTTGGAACTCGAGGGCAACCTCAAGCACATGGAGCGACGCTACGCCTGGCTGCAGGAGATGGTGAAGCGCGGGAAGGTCGCTCTGCAATACATCCCGACCACCGAGCAGCTGGCCGACTTTCTGACGAAGGCGCTGCACTTCCGGCCTTCAACCGGTGCTCCGTCGCGATCGGCCAAGTGCGACTGGCCGACGTAGGCGACGATGACGACGGCATGCAGCAGTAGGCGCCATGCCCTTCTGCATGGCTGGTGCGGTGACCTGCATGCTATATGTTGGGTGCACGCAAACAGAGTTCTCCTCTATCCCTTCTGGGTAGACCTAGTGTGTAGGGTGCCCAAGCGCGAGCACTGCAGGGGAGTGTTGACGGGAAATGGCCCCGCCCTCGCTAGGGCGAAGCCAACTTCACAGTCGGATGCGCGGGAGGTGCAGCCGACTGCGCACAAAAGTCGACGTCGACCGCGCGCAGAAGTCGATGTCGACCACGCGCAGAAATCGACCTCGACCGCGCGCAGAAGACCACGTCGACCGCCCGCAGAAGTCAACGCTGACTGCCCGCAAAACTCAACGCCGACTTAGGCAAGCGGGTCGACGAGGTTGTCTGGTCAACAAGGTTCTGCGGGGAATTTGGTCGAGCATCGTCGGCAGAGGATGCGGTCGACATCGCCGGCAGAGGATGCGGTCGACGAGCCCGTAGAGGATGCTGGTCGACGAGGCTCGTCGAGGAGTGTTGGTCGACGGGCTCTGCTCGACGAGCTCGTCTCGGCGAACGCTGTTTGACGGAGCATCGTCGAGCTGGTCGACGCAAGTCGCTCGACTGCGAAACTCGACGAGTGGGCGAATGTCGCCCATGAGGTTTCCGCGAAGTCAATCTGCGGAGATGCATCACGTACTCGACGGTGCACGGTTAGCAAACACGTCGACACGCGCTCTACATGGCACCTGCGCAATGTGCCTGGCGGCGCGACCGTCTACCTGCACCTACTTGGTAGGTGTGCACATGCACAGAAGTTACCCGACAAAACCAGGTCGTATGCCCATCTCTACACTTACCATATTGTAGTTTTGGAGGGAGGGTGCCTTACCCCATCGTAGTCTTGGAAGGAGGGTGCGGACGCCTCGATGTGCACAATGTCAGGCTGGCGCTGCACTGCCAGCATGAGCCCAAACCACCCGTAGAACCCCGTGCGCTCGATGCCTCGGATGCCATAGTACTTGGTGCTCGCCTGTAGGCAGGAAGGAGGAGTATGGGTGAAGACAAAGATGGGGGGCAAAAGACGATTAACAATAACCCTGCAATGATGACCCGCTAACAATAGTTACAAGAAACAACACCTAAAGAACAATACGTAACACCTTCATCAGAGAAAGCTCACTTGCGATCTTCCTTTAAGAGCTGGCCCTTGGGAATAAACTGCATCATCTACCAGGCCCTTTCCCTGGGCGGTAGCGTTGAGGAGGAACTGCAGCGCCTTGGTGGGCGAGCCACCGTCGCAGTTGGAGGAGAGGGCGAGGCGCAGATGCTCCACCGACAGTACGGGGGGCTGCGCCCAGTTGCTCGCGATCCTGTAGGCTGCCTCTACCGCTGCTACCGCCGCATACGCCCAGCAATCACCTGTATGGCATGAAAAGGGACGCATGGCAATGGGAGTCATGAACTCGTGTGTGATCATAGTGTAAGGGTAAAAAGTTTGGTGATTGCTAGCAATTTGGTGTCAGGATAACTTCTGGAACATTTGCAAGGCAATTACGGCAGGGTGGGACACAGCGAAGTAAGCGAAGTCACATGCCCTCACTCACTCCAAGGCATGATCAAATGGCCCGTTCGGGTCAGGCCGGCCCGACCCGACCCGCAATTTTTCCAAGGTCGGGTCAGGACTTTCAATGTCCTGGCCCGGGCGGGTCAAATCAGTCCGTCCTGACTCGATGTTTTCGGGTCGGGTCGGGTCGGGTCGGGTTTCGGGCCGACTTCGACTCGGCCCGGAATCGGGTCAAGAACAGGGTAACCGGGTCGGGCTTTGACCTAACCCGGTTTCGAAATTAGAAAAAACCCTAAAGTCGATGTCGAGGGGACTTTTTTCCCCTCGACACCATCCCCGCAACCTACTTTCTAACCTTCAGCTCAGACATCCTAGATACTATGCAAGTAATAGTCGGCTATGTGCAGAGGCTCAATGTCGAGAGATGTGTATGTAAAGAGTGGGAAGGGGGGGGTGTTGGGAATTGTAGATTCAGTGCGGTAAGGACTGGTGAGGACTGACGAATTGGTTGGAAATGTTTGTTTGTGCCAGGGTGAGTAAATCATAGGCGAAAATTCCGATTTCCAGATAAGCACAAGCCGGAATTTTTGCCTATGATTTACTCACGCTGGCACAAGCAAAAATTTTCAACCAATTTCCCTACTGTCAGGTCCGCGTGCCAGTGTTCTGGGGACGTGGGATGGGAACGACACAGTGCATGATCACTGATGTCATTCCATGCATGGCTGCATGTTGTTTCCGTGGCCCATTCACTCCTCTCATCTCAAGAACCCCCCCCTGCCAATGCATCAAGTCTTAACTCCAAGCCGTATCTTGCACTTATCTGATCGTTCATGCCCTTCTGCAATACTGCTCACCGCAGCCTTGTTGGTTCTTGACAGGCCATGCGGATTCAGGCAAGACCCAGGTGCTGTAGGACTTGACAGTCCACGCCGGGCTGTTGTCCTGCGCGGGGTCGAAGCCCGCACTGGCGTAGTGGAAGGCAGCGTTGAAGCCCTGCGATGAGAAGGAGTCCTCGTCCAACACAAACCCCAACGCCAGGTCTGGTGGGAACGAGCAATGGTTTTGGGAGTTGGGAGGAAAAAAACAGTGTTAACTGTTGAGGGATGAACTCAGTGATAGGAATGGACTAACACATATGGTGTGAAAAAAAAAGCCACGCATACTCACCCGAAGGGTCAAAATGCGGGTTGAGCGGAACTTCTGCACCCACAACAGCCAACCAGAACGACGGAGTGGCACGGAGGGAGTGGCAGAAGTGCATTGATATGGTGTAGAGCCATGAATGGCTGCATACAAGCAACACATGGAGCAGGACTGGGCTTGAGCAAAGTCCGAGGCGGGGACTTGGCTCATGGCTCTGCTTGTCGATTGGTGAGCCAATCCAGCAATCTCAAGTCTTTCAATCTCACAGCTCAAGTTGCACAGGCTTGCTTATCTAGACAGTGAGTTTTGTTGGGTCGTTTTGCTACAAGGGGTTCGTGGTCATTTGACTCGCATAAACATCGCTTTTCTTTGTCGCCACTGAGCTAGTCCACCGTCCACGTTCTTCCCAGTAGTTCCCCTCAAAGTTCCCAAAGTGCAAGACCGTTTCTTTCAAGTTTGGTGCTTATTTACGTTCTTTGCATCATTTCAAACCCTCTTTGCGAAATTGAGCTGTACACTCGACGTCAATATTACCTGCGCGCCTTGCAATTGGGCCGCTGGCTTCAAGCCAACGAGTCACAAACTTACTCCACTCATTAAATCATCCATAACCCTCCGTTTACCCCTTCACATGATTCTAAGTTTACACACATTGACGAGCCGTGACTCGGCTCGTCTCGCTTGTCGCTTGGCTCGGACTGAGCCGACTCATCGAGCTTGGCTGGTTGGCTTGCCTGTGAGGCACGTACCTGCAGCTATCAATCAACTCGCCCACAAATCCCAAGCCATGAGCCAGATCCCAGCGCAGGTTGGCTCGTCTTGCTTGGACTTGACTTCGCTCAAGAAAACAAATCGAGCCATCCCCGGATTGGTTCATCTCGTTATGATGTGATGTCTACATTCTTCTGGCATTCACGAAGGTGTAAGTCGAGCAACAGTCGTCAGTTCGACTACAAACGTCGACCCTCAACCGGTGCCGAGCAACGGCATTACGAGCTGAGTCAGACAGATTTGGTTCGACAATGACCGACAGTTTCACTTGACTTGCTAAGGCTTACCTGAGAGGCACACACCTGCAGTGAAGGTCCAGTTGAGGACAGAGTGTGCTTGTGGGCCGGTGGTGGACGAGGCTGTGAAGCCGACGTAGAATGCAGCACTGGACGCCTTGGGCTGCAGGATGGAGCAGAGCGACACTCGAGCGCGCAAGATGGGGTTGAGAGGCTGCTGGGGGTCGGAGGAGAGGAAGACTCGGAGGGTGCCGCCGCTGGTGGGGTCGTAGTGGATCCAGGCGTGCTTGGTGTGGGCGTCGTTGAGGATGAGAGGGGCCGTGGCAGAGGTGAGGGACACAGGTGAGCCGCCCACATTGACGCCCACGTGGTTGTCGTTGGGGTCGCTGTGCTTCACACTCAGCACCGAGTCAAACTCCACCGCCACACTCCGCTTCCCAACCCCTCCCAGCCGGTCTGGCAGCGCCGCAGCAACGACAAACACGAGCCCATCCCCGCCAGCCTCCGCTTCCGGGTCGAGAGAGAAGGCAAGAGATACGTTGAAGGCGAGCTGGTAACCGCATGTGGCCTTGGTGTTGAAGTAGGAGAAGAGGGGGAGAGGCGCAACTGTGAAGGCCGTGCCCCAGGTGGCGTTGGCCTTGGGGGTCAGCAGCAGGGCGCCATCAGCAGAGGTCAGCGCCGAGCCACTCAGCACCATGGGGGTGGCGGCAGAGGAGGCCAGCACGGGGTCAACTGGTGAAGGGGGGGGGGCGGGGGGGGAGGAGGGAAGAGATGTTGGATATAAGCAGCATGGTTTTTCGCTAGATTGACGAGTTGCATTGCAAGCATGTTCTGTCAATGGTTTTACATAAACTGGAAAATCCTGTTGCTTACCAGTGTATGTGCACGTGTGGGGGTCATTGCGAGTGGAGTAGTGCGCTTCGCACACACACTCCCCCATGCTGCTGCTGTCATTCCTGAAGCAGTACCCATGCCCACTGCACAGCACCCCGCCCTGCCCCACCCCACAGAATGCTGCACAGCTTGCATTGCTCCTCTGCGGATGGTTCACCCCGCACAAGGGTGGTGCGCAGACAGTTATCGTAGAGCATGAGGCTGGTAGCAGAACAGTTCTTAGGGCGGATGGGGGCAGACGAGAAGTAGTTGCCTTGAACGTCAACAAGTGTGAGGGCCTTGGACGCTGGGATGGGCACATCTCCTGTGAACTGGTTGTAGCCCACCAACCTGAATACGAATAGGATTGTTGAATGCACAAACAGCAATGACGGGAAGAAGTTATAGAAAGGCGAAAGAAGAGGGCAATGTGTAGGTGGAGAGGATGCGGAAATGATGATCATGCAACCCCATGAGCTTCACCGTTTCCCTCTTACAGCTCCTTGAGGCTTGTCATGGGAATCACGATGGGAGCCAAGGGTCCTGACAGCAACATGGAAGTGAGATCCCTGCACCACACATGCATGCATGCAATTAGAGAGATCTTTCAGCATGAACGGAAATGTGTTATGTTTTCCCCTCCACCAATACATTTGTGCAATGACCCCCTCTCTGCTGGTTCTTTGAAGGTCCTCTTTGGGCGTTCCTTTTTGAACCAAACCCTATGTGGGCGTTACCATTGCGTGATGGACGTTCCCCTTCTGAGATCCCTTTTTGAGGCGCCTCAAAAATCGCCTAAGTACTCGCGGATTTTATGTGGAGAGGTTTATAACTGCTTGGAAGTGTTCTCGTAACTTGCAAAAGTTACTGGTTCGTGCGCGGTTACCAAAATGACAGGTGTGTTGAAGACTTTCCCGAAGGCTGACTCTGCACCCTGGGTGTTTCCCATTGCTTAGTTGGCGATTGCTTGTAAAATACAATCTGGGTAGTTGGTTGACACAAAGTAGATCTCGAGGGCAGTAGGCTAGTACTTAGCGAGCTGCTGCTCTAAGCCCTTCTTTCTTGTGTGGATCTGACAAGCACTGATGAAGGCTGATCGGGTTTAACCCGTTGGCCGAAACTAGTTTGCGATTAGGATTCTTACGAGTTAAGGGGTTTCTTGTACTACTTCAATTTCTGGGAAGTTTTTTACAGTTTCGTTCCTTACAGTTGCTTAAGCGTTTTCTTCAGGATTTGCAGCTATTCCGGTATGAGTTTGGATTCTGACGACTTTGAATGGTCTCCACTGGTAGCGGAAGACGCCGAACCTGAAGTACGCAGTTCGTCTAAGAGAGCTCGTGGTAGTGGTAACAAGTCGCGCTCTGGCAAGAAAGCCCCCGGGCAGCCACAGACCGGCAATCGTTTTCCACAATTGGCGTTGACCCACGAGCCGCTTTTGCGTAACGAGCAACCTGTGATTCCTCCCGCTGGACCTTCTGGAAGTCGTCCCGACAACATGGCGGATCCGGCTGAAGATTCTCCAATCCAGGAACCTTTCCGTGGCTGGGTTTCTGAAGCTGTTAAGGATTTCCGCGACGATTTCAAGAAATGGCTGAAGGCGAAAAGCAAGCTTAAGAAGATGAAGGAGCTCGATCGCCAAGGCACGATTCTGCACAGCATCCGTACGAAAGCGGTCGAGTTCCAGACTACTATTGACTCTGTTAAGGAGAAATCCACAGCGGCTGTTGCTGAGATCCATTTGGAGAATCAGAAACGACTGCAGACAGAGTTTATCGCCTCCAAAGCTTTAGAGGTTGAGGAATTTCAGAAGGCAGCCGGCACGCGTGTCACCACTCTGGCGACGCGGATGGAGGACTACATAAAGGGCCTAAGCGCGGATCCCGATTTGGTGGTTTCAGACGCCGCCAAGGAGAAGTTTCGGCTTATGAAGGGACGCTGTATCGTGAAGGCCCAGGCCGACATCGCCACCGCCAAGGATGAACTTACCATCCGAGAGTTGGATCGACAGCGACGACAGGCTGACGAGGATTTGAAGAAGGCTGCTGCGTCCGAGGAAGTGCAGGAGATGGAACTCGAACCTGCGTTGGAAGAGATTCTCGCTAAGCATGCAAAGAGGATTGAGGACAAGCTGCGCAAGGAAATTACAGCAAAGCTTGAAGTCAGTCTATCGAAGAAGCTGCTGAAGAATCTCTCCCTTAAGGGACAGGACCCGATGCAGGCCCCTGCTGCTGATCCGAAGCCGAAGAATCCTGCGGGGAAGCAGAAGAATCAGCCTTCACCTGCGGAAGGCGCGTCTGCCGCAACCACTGGACTCAAGCCAAGGAGGAAGCGCGGGGGAAATAAAAAGAAACAGAAGCAGAATTCCGGCACTGACAAAGACAAGCAGGCGGGAGGCCAAGACAAGGGAGTCACGGCCAAGGGACCAAAAAACGGTGGAGGCGGCCCCGGCAAAGGGCCGCGCAAGAACTAACCAGCCACGAGCTGGCTCTCCGCTGGTTTGGACGGCTGACGCCACGGCAGATTGCGCTACGCGTCCGTAACCGCGGAGTTCACAACCTCAGCGCCAAGATCTTGTCCCCGGATGAGAAAAAGGCACTGGGGTTGGGTTTGAAGTTCATACCCACGCCTACCGTTTCCCTCTCTGCTGGAGTCGAGTTAGATCAGCTCTTCCGACAGATCTCGTTACATTTCTTCTTCAAGGATGCAGGCAGTTCTACGAGGGAATCGCGCTTTAGAGTTCGGAACCCGAGTTGGCTTCCTGATCGGATCATCATTCCGGAGCAGGTCTTCAAAGACTCGTCCTCGGACCTGTCTGTCCTGTTGAAGACAACAAGGCCTGACCGCCGCCGAAACATCTCGTTAGGTGTCAGAAGGGCCTTGCGTTCCATCGCTGCAGATCGAGACGTAGTTGTGAAACCCGCCGATAAGAACGTTGGGATTACAGTCATGGATAGGGACCATTATGTACGGTTGTGCATGAAGCATCTTGGCGACAGCAACACCTACACTCCTGTCCAACATGATCCTACCGTCGACGTTGAGCGGAAGCTGCGTGACTTGCATAGCGTATGGGGCCCTGCTTTTCCCGAAACGCTTTGGAAGTATTTCTTTGACAAACCACCTGGAGGATGGAAGCCCGCAGCCTTCTACATCTTACCGAAGCTGCACAAGGAGAAGCTCGCGGGGCGACCGATCGCCGCCTCGCATTCATGGGTGACTTCTAACGTCAGCCGCTGGTTAGATGCTGAGTTACGGCCGTGGGTTTTGCAGCAGCAGACATACCTCCGGGATTCCCTCTCGCTGCTTTTGAAGCTGGAAGAAACCGCCTTCCCGAAAGGGATCCTTCTGGCCACCTACGACGTTGCCTCTCTTTACCCCAGCATTCCCTTACGACGAGGCATCGACGCAGTTAGCAGCATTCTACAGAGTGGGAGACACCCGAGCTACCTCCCTATCATTGCCCTGCTGGAGTGGGTGATGATGAACTCATATGTGGAGTTCGACGGCCAGCTGTATCTTCAAAGGCAGGGTACTGCTATGGGAACTCCTGCAGCAGTGTGCTTTGCCGTGCTGTTCATGAGCCGTTTGGATGAGGTGTTGAAGAGGAGATGGACTGGGACGCAGCCGCTTTGCCACGTCAGATACATTGACGACGGCCTCATTGTTTGGCCAGGATCTCGGACCGAGCTTGAAGCCTACCTGAACGTGTTCAACGAGCTCGACCCCAACATTAAACTGACGTGGCATGTCTCAGATGTTTCGGCAGATTTTCTCGACATGGTCATCTTCAAGGGACCCAGATTTGCCGAAAAGGGTATCCTGGATCTGAAAGTTTTTCAGAAACCTATGAACCGGTACCTCTATCTCCCGTTTTCTTCGTTCCACCCGCGACACTGCAAGATTGGGTATATCAAGGCAGAACTGAAGCGGTACTTACTCCGTTCGACATCTGCTGAGTCCTTTCTCACCTCTAAGCACGCATTTTTCCAACGGCTTAGATGTCGCGGTTACCCAAGAGATTTCCTCCTGCCCATCTTCCGGACAGTTTTCTTCCGCCACCGACACCTCCTATTGGAGGAAACCGCTGCACGCCAAGCTTTTAAACTCACCTCTCCCCCCACCCGCGGCCCCCTGGTCTTGAAGACAGTGTTTACTCCGATGACATCTCGTCTCAGGCTGGGGGTCTTTTTGAGGCGCCTCAAAAATCGCCTAAGTACTCGCGGATTTTATGTGGAGAGGTTTATAACTGCTTGGAAGTGTTCTCGTAACTTGCAAAAGTTACTGGTTCGTGCGCGGTTACCAAAATGACAGGTGTGTTGAAGACTTTCCCGAAGGCTGACTCTGCACCCTGGGTGTTTCCCATTGCTTAGTTGGCGATTGCTTGTAAAATACAATCTGGGTAGTTGGTTGACACAAAGTAGATCTCGAGGGCAGTAGGCTAGTACTTAGCGAGCTGCTGCTCTAAGCCCTTCTTTCTTGTGTGGATCTGACAAGCACTGATGAAGGCTGATCGGGTTTAACCCGTTGGCCGAAACTAGTTTGCGATTAGGATTCTTACGAGTTAAGGGGTTTCTTGTACTACTTCAATTTCTGGGAAGTTTTTTACAGTTTCGTTCCTTACAGTTGCTTAAGCGTTTTCTTCAGGATTTGCAGCTATTCCGATATGAGTTTGGATGTGGGCGTTACCATTGCGTGATGGACGTTCCCCTTCTGAGATCCCGTCATCGTTTGCATGTAACAGCGCTAACAAGCTTCTTATTAGTCAAACAGCCACTCACAGTCATGAAGTTCAATCCAAGGTGCAAATCGTCATGTAGGGTTCTGAAAGTGGAGGAAACGGAGATGTGTGGGTGCATGCTAAGGTGCCAGCTCAGATGTGTGTGGTGAGAATCACAGAAAGCAGTCTTATTGACAAGTTGGTGGTACAACGAGCAGGGCATTGCTCACAGGTACTGGAGCTTCTGCAGAGAGCTGAGAGCGAGAGGCACAAGGCCATGAATGCGCAGGCTTGGAAGGGAACTGCAAGCATTATGGGGGAAGAGGGCAGGAGGATCAATTTAGCACTGCCAGCAAAACATGGAGATTTTCCAGGTTTGTGAATATGATAGCAGAGCTAATGTACTAGGAAGGAGTTCATTCGACATGAAGCAGTCATGAGAGACAAAGAGTTCAGCAAGCACAGTGTGAGGCCTCACAGCATTTGTAGATTCTTGAGATTTGCAATCGAAGATGGCATTGAGCCTGAGAAGTCATTACCGCCTAGCACCCTGTGAGCAAGGGTGAGGGATGGCAGTGTGGTGCGGTGCGGTGCGGTGTGGCTCTCGTTTTCCACAGAGAAGACACCTGAACTAGACACCATAATGCTTAGATGCCGGTCTATTGTCGTGATTACAAGGGAGATCCATGCAGCGGAGTATACACGAGCAACAAGGCAAGCTTCTTGGCTTGGCTCGTACGGTGGACTCGTTCAAGGATGAGTGACGAGCGGAGTTGGAATCACAGGTCGCGTAGCTGCGACAGGGCTCCAAGTGACGATGGGAGGCTGCCCTGAAACCTGTTGTACTCCAGGTGCCTGCAGTAGATTGACCCCGATCAAGTTCATACGCCCATATGGAGAATGGATGGCATGGCCATATCATGCAGGCATGTTCATCTGGCTTCGCAGCTAGCACAAATGTGCCTGACAGTGCGAAGAATAAACACTTTGACGCATGCTTTAGCGTCTGTTAGCCAATGACAGTACCAGCCTTGTGACGAAGGTGGGAAGCCTTGTGGCGATCGCAAAACTAACACAGCCAGAAGCAGAGCCAGCACCAAGGATAGCAGCACAGGGGGAGCAGAAGGTGTGGTGTGGGTCTTGCTGCTGTGGCGAATGGCACTGCCTACAAGCATGTCAGTCCTTGCAGCTGGGCTAGGGAGTCGGGCAGGTTTCCACTGAAACTGTTGAAGTCCAAAGCCCTTAAATGGCCGATTGGAAATGGATGCAGCACATGGACGTAAGGTCAAAAGAGAAGAGAGGCAAGCACCATGAAGAGCTGGAAAATGCTCAGTATCATGCATGCAATATGTCAATCCGATGCATGCACCATGAAATGGATGCAACTCAAGCAAGCGGCAGCATCTTTTTAGTTTAGAACATGCAGTCTAAGCGAGCAGTGAGCACCACTGGACAAGGGTTTCGTGTCAGGGTTAAAGGGGTCACAGGAAGCTGTGATTCGCACGCACAATTCCTCAATATGCTGAGAAGCGGTGCGTACAAGGTGCAAAGGTTGGTGAGAGATGAAATGAACTGGGGAAGAGGCCCTGAGAGGGCGTTGTGGCTTAGTTTCCTGCATGGAGCCACAGACAGGCACCCGTGGATTTGCAATGCAGGGAGAAGAAAACTACTTGGGGTTGAACGAGCAATTCAGAGTGGTTGAACAAAGAGTGGTATTTCATCTTTTGGGGGGGAGGGATAGAAGGGGGTAGAGCTTGGCTTGCTGATTGGTAATGTTTCAGATGTATGAGACACACTCAAATGTAATTGGTTGGATTAACAATGCTATAACATTTTTTGGTTGTCAGTGCTCTATCTCTTGTGACTAAAACATCTTAATATTCGAAATTTGAGCTGTGCAGAGCATTGCCAGTTTGAATTGATTTAAGTTTCAAATAGACCATGCAGACAGCCGAATCCACGCAGGCGTGACTCGGGTCGCAAAGGCGACTCAATCGGATCGTACGTGAACATCTTCTTTTAGGACTTTGACCAGCATGTAAGCCCATTCTGCCATACCTTGAAGGTTCCCATGCCCAATTCAAAGGGATCGAACTGATCCCAAACATATTTGAGTCGAGCATGTTTGACTTCAAGGGTCAAACACTGAGCATTCATTTGCGGAAAATATGTTCAACACGAACTGAGGATGCTCAATTTACGTATTGTACATGACTGAAAACATCGCTTCAAAAATATCAGAAATATACGATTTTAACAAACGTCCATGGCGAACATGTTTGAGTCCATTATTTTTGCTTAATAAGAAGCGCCTATAAAAGGATGGCCTTGCAAGGAGCAGTGTATGCATAAGTGGAGCAAATGTTCCCAATGCAATGCACCAGTAGACAACGTACAGGAGATTGAGCTTCCTCAAGCATGACATTCCCACAGGCATTGAGCCATCCAGCATATTTCCCTGAATTGAGCTGCAGGCACCACAGGCGATTGCAAAGCAAAGATTGGGGTAGATATTACGAAACTCCCAAAATTCCTATCCGTCTGACCACTATCAATCAAAGCGGGAAGCTGTAGAAAAAAAAAGTAACGATCAACCACTTTTGCTGCCAGGTTGCCATCCGAACTCGTGGGCTGCATCTGCATGAGACATGACACTGCAAGCAAGCATCTGCCCCCCGCCACCCATGTGCGAGAGTAGGTTAATCCATTTCACGTGAGGGGGTTGACTATGGTTTGAGTCTCAAACATGCATGTACACTTCCTCTATATAGCCTAAGTTTCTTATAACCTTTGATGAATAACTCTAAGCCTACATACTCTAAGATGTACAACAACTTGAGACAAACTGTTGGAACTTGGATACTCACAAGTATTCAAGGTTGGTCAATTTGCTGATACTGGCAGAGATAGAGCCAGAGAGATCATTGCCATCAAGCTCCCTGAAGCACAAATAAAATATACAAATACATACATACATAAAAAAAGGGGGGCACAATGAGCACGCCATACATCGAGCACACCGGCACGCAAGACATTCGAAACAGAGGTTCGGAAGGTGGAGAATGGAGCTGAAGTACGAGCCAAATGCGTACGACTCAAACCAATTTACTTCTCTGTTCAACACGAAATGCTTTACTCAAACCTGCACGTAACGGTTCAATTAGATTCGACTTTGTATCAATCCGACACGGTCTTGGTTCGCGTCTAGTCGACAAAGAATTGGCACTGAAACCTGGCCTGGACAATAAGGGCCTTTGGTGCAAGATTTTTTGCGACTTCTGTTGCCAGGACCATGCAGACCTTTTAGTAACTCTGTGGGATCTGGAAATGTTGCTCACATTTGCGTAAATCTGGAATTTAGCACCCAGATCTGTATGTGTCTGGATTTTTGCGATAATGTCCAGACGAAGTGGTTTTACCGAACCAAACCCAAACGGGTTCAGGTCAAATTGCATACGTTTAGACCCGAAACTGGAAAACGCTCGACCACATTAGGCAAACCTGAACCCCCATTTCTCCGCCCGCCCCTCCCAAGCCTCCCCCCGGTTCCGGTTCAAATCAAGTGGACCACTTTCGTTTATAGAGAAGACGGTTCACCTTGGTTCGAATACTGGGGTTCAGCTTTAGCTCGTATCTAAAAATGTGGGTTCACCAGGAAGCTGGAAAAAACAACTACAAAATGTTCAGTATGCTATCGGTTAAGAGCTTGGGTGAGTACACCCTTTTGTTTTCACAACCAAACAATGATTCTAGATGTCTGTTGACTAGGTTCTTACAATCATCCTTGCACAGCTACCGTCCAGCACATGATCCATCCGCTATGGTATAGTGTGACTTACAGCTTGGTGAGGGTATGTAGGGTGAAGAGGGAGGATGGAATAGACCCCGTCAATTGGCAGTCAACCAGAGTGCTGCATGCAGGATGAACACGGATAGGCTCACGGACTGAAGCACAGGCACAGGAACAGCACAGGCATTGGGTTAGGCACCACCGATGGCACACACAGCCACAGGCAGACGCACAACAATAAGGCAGATGCACAAGCAAAAACGCAATCACAAGTGCAAGTGACGGCAGAGGCAGACGCGCATACATAGACGTGGGCAAGGCTATGCAACAGCACAGTTGCAGCAGTCAGAACAGAGGCAGAACTCCAGTGATGCTTGGATCATGAAAACCGACTGCTTACAATAGTAAGTTCACTATGCGAAATGGCAAGGCAACGAGCTTGAATGGCTGATAGCGTGGCAGGCAGTTCGTGGTAGTAGTCTTACAACGACTGAAGGCAGGTCAGGGCGCTTATGCAGGAAGGGATCGGCTTCGAAAGAGTTTGTTGAATGACACTCCTAATGCCACCACACACAATGAAGCAGCAGCATGATTAGAGTTTCCAGCGTACGAAATGGGACTCTGTGTAGAGATGAGCAACGAGGCGAGTTGGTGCGGCACTTGTCCGGCTTAATGTCACTTTTAGTAAGGTCTAAGCTTTCTCGCTTTGATTATTGGCTCGATTCGAGTAATGGTGGCGAGTATTGGCTTCAGATGACAAAAAGCGTCGACACAGCTTGCTCGACTCGCCGAAACCAAGCACGTTGAGCCGGGCCTGAATAGACTCAATAAATAGACTGGTTTCGCCATTATCGTGCCGTGGCTCGTCATTGCATACCTTACCTCGACGGACGGATACACCGAGTCAAGCCTGGCTCGAGAGCCAGGTCGTTTTGGCTCAAGCCCAAGTCAAGCCCAACTCAAGTTACCGAGCTATGAAATGTAGCGCCTGGCATCTAGGCGCTAGCGGTTGACCATTCAGCATAGCCCAACATGACTCGACTAGCATGTTATAGAGTCCAGCATAAGGCAAGCCTGGCTCGGCTCAGACCCTTCTAACTCAATGTACAGGCTCAACTCATAGGAATTGGCATGCATGCCTGGGGAGTTCTAATATTGCAGAGCGCAGTGACGTGATGTAATGGTCCGTGCTTGCATCTGTCTGTGGTGCCAAGACACAGGAACAGAATGGTCAGGCTACAGCAGCTCATATAATGAGTGCTTACAAAGACGTAAGGCAGCCATCCTTGTTGCAGGTAACGCCTTGCATCAAGGTGCAAGACCCAGCCTCCCATGTGTCGCTTCCATAGAAAGAGCCCCACTCGGCCTTAAGGGCTCTCAACACAACATCTGTTGGCGTGAAGAGTGCAGTGAGAAGCATGCGAGCAGATGGAAAATAGTACACAAAACAGCAAGTTGACCTGGTGCGAGCGAGGACGCAATAAAAGTAGCGTGGACACCACAAGGATGGGAGCCGTGTTGGTGGGACAGATAGGAAGCTCAAATCCTCATTAAAGGTGGCGGTGTCCACAACCATACCTCACAGCATGGCTTGTCCCTCCCTGCCATGACACAGCACAGCAGGCTGCCATCGCATCACGCTGCTGACAGACCACCAAGACATGTACAGACGAAGTCAAGTAAGATATAGACTCGTTCTCTGTACTCACGGAAAAACGGGTCACGAGCCTGCATAGTTTTTTTCTACTCAGCCAAGTCGAGTCGAATCGAGATTTAGAAAAATTGACTCACACTCGTCATCTCTCGCGAGCATTTTTTCGCTCCCACAACAAGTTCAAGCATACTGATGTGAATTTTCGCCAACGAATTCGCTCGGATCTGACAATTTGCGGCCAGATCCGTGCAAACCTGGCACTTCAGTGGCAGGCCCAGCTCTGAGGAGGGAGGGGTGGAGAGGGAAGGGGAGGGGAAAGGGGAGGGAGGGGGGAGGGTGGGGAAGGGAGGGGGGGATGGGGAGGGAAGAGGGGGGAAAGCTAAGTTGCAATAAACGCTCAGGCCTGTTTGCGTTTAGCGGATATCCGCTTGCGTATACACGCAACACGCTATACGCAAGCGAATCCGCTATACGCTCGGCAAATTTGTTTTGGGGCAGCCGGCGGAAAAAAAATCGAACATACGGAAAGATGCGGAATTTCACGACGTGCGTTTTGCCGAAGGCGAATTGCACGAACGTGACTTGTCCAATTGTGGACGTGGCTTTTTGCAGAACGCGAATTGCGCATACGTGACTTGTCCAATCGTGGACGTGGGTTCAACCCACGTAGTCGAGATTGGTTGTGTCAATTTGTCAAGTCGCGTTTCCACGTACACACTTTGTGCGCTCTGTTTGTTACCGCATTGAATCCCCTCCCATCTACTCACTCCAACCAAATGTCCCAATGTTCCCTTCTCTCGTTGTGCTACTTAGTGGGTTGCAAGCAACTACGCAATTCATCAGTTCCCCGTCTCTTTCGTAATGTCTAGCCCGCCATGCACACCGCCATCCGTTCAGACAGTGCAGAGTTCTCGGATTGTTCGACCTGAGGGTAGGGATTACCTTCCTGACATGCCGGAACACGCTGTCTTCAAACATTTCAGCCTCATTGTGCGGGAAGAAGGCAAAGCACAGCAGTACGAGTGTAAGTACTGCTTCAATGTTTTCACCGGTGCAGCCATTCGTTGCGCGCAGCACCTGAGCTCGTGGAAGGGAATGAAGCGTCGCGAGGTGACGCTTTGCAAGGAGGCACCGCAAGACGTACGCAACGAGATGCGCACCAAATACGAAAAGATGGCTGCCGCAATCGAGGAAAAGCGCCGAGCAACATCTGCTGCAGTTGCGGCAGTACAGGCTGGTGGAGGGAAGCGGCGCATAACCGACTACTTGGAGGGAGATGCCGCTGCGGCTAAGCGGGATGCTCACGAGGGCCTTGCGCTGATGTTTGCGGCCTGCAGAATCCCGGAGGTCACCATGGACCACCCGCTGTTCATCAACGCCATGCTGCTCGTCAACCGCGCCGGCAACGGCTACGTCACCCCCAGGAGGACTTTCATTGGCGGGGCTGGACTGGTCGCTGTCCGCAAAGGGATTGAGCAGGGGCTGGTGGGGATTAAATCGAGCTGGAAGAAGACGGGGGTAACAATTGCGTCCGACATGATGACGGACAAATGTGGGAGGGCGCAAGCGAACGTGCTTCTGATCAACGACTCCGGCGCCGTCTTCAGGGAGGCGATCGACTGCGGTATGGAGCGAAAGACGGGGGGATACATAGCGGGGATTCTGCAGCCGGTGGTGGAGGAGGTAGGACCAGAAAATGTCGTCGCGTTTTGTATGGATGGGGGGTCGAACTATGCCGTGGCTGTCCAGGAGCTGATTGCCAAGTGGCCCCACATTCAGCAGGTCCCTTGTGCCACGCATGTGATGGATCTCCTCCTGGAGGACGTGGGAAAGATGGGGTGGGCAAAAGGGGTGGTGGATCGGACTGGGGAGATGAGTTCGTTCGTTCGCAACCATCATTGGACGCGCGCTTACCTGAGGACCAAGGAGTTGGTGGAGGGGAAGGTGCTGCAGCCGCTGAAGCCAGCGGGAACACGGTTCGGGACACATTACATTGCTGTGTCCCGCCTTTGTCAGTTGCGTAGCACCCTCAACGCGATGGTGCTTTCCGACAGGTGGAAGGAGTGGGCCTCGGGGTCGCGGAAGGAAACTGCCGAGGCCTTTGCTGCACGGGTCCTCGATGACGCATGGTGGCGGACGGCAGAATTCTTCTGCAAGCTGATGCAACTGCCCTACAAGGCGATGCGGCAGACTGACGCAGATGCCAATGGGATGATGGGCCGGCTCTACGATGTAATGCTGCAGCTTACCGAGGATGTCAACAACATCCTGGACGAGGATGAGCAGCAGCTGAGTAGCGCGGACAAGGAAAAGATCCGCAGCATCATCAAGGACCGCTGGGATAACAACCTCGCCTGCGCCATGCACGTTGCTGGCCGAATCCTCAACCCCGCCAACCAGGAGGAGGATATCTTTGGCAGCGACGCCGAATGCACCCGGGTTTTCAAGGCGTTAATCAACCAGCACGTGGAGTTCCTCATCGGCCACGACGGGAAGGGGAGGGATGAGGGTCCAGATTACTTGCTTGCCTTGGGTGACGGGCTGAGGGCTTTCTTGGACATGAAAGGCAGTTTTGGGATGCCGGAGGCGCTTGCACAGAGGGAGAAGGTGAAGGCGGGTAAGTACAGCATGGTGAAGTGGTGGCAGTGGAACGGCACAGATGCACCTCACCTGATGCGCTTCGCCGTGAGGGTGCTATCTCAGCCTGTATCGGCATCCCCTTGTGAGCGTGGGTGGGGAACTTGGGATGCAGTCCACACAGCCCGCCGGAACCGCCTCGGATCTGCAAAGTGCCAGGACCTGGTTTTTGTTGCGCACAACTGGAATGTTGTGCGCAACTGGCACTCACGCGCAGATGTAATGCCGAAGGTTTTGCCAGGGATTGGGGACGAGCCTCCTATTCCCGAGGGGTACAACGGGTTGGATGAGACGGAGGTGGAGGAGGAGGAAGGCGAGGATGACGTCCTGGAGGACGAGTACGCTTAGAACTAGGGTGGCAGGAGAGTATTAGTGACATGTGTGTGTGTATGGTGTCGTAATCTTATTATGGGGAAAAAAAAACTGTGTTGCAAAACCCCCAAAATGCCTCACCCCTCCCCCCCCCCAAAAAATCCCCAAGTGGTTTTTTTTGCCCTGCCCGGGAAAGTTTTTTCCCTGCCCGGAAAAACGTATTCCAAAGTCGACCCCCAAGCGGATAGCGTGCATACGCTAGCGTATATACGATAAGCGTATATACGCTATAAGCGTATATTGCAACTTAGGGGGAAAGGGGGAGGACGGGGGGTGGGAAGGCGATGGGGGTGTTACGAGTCGTCACTCAACTCGAATCAGGTAGATTCAATCTTTGCCTCAAAAAGGCAGGGTCGACTAAAAACAAAACTTGACTCGAATATATACAACTGAAGGCGAAGCTCGACCGTGTCAAGCCAAACGAAAATCTTGATTTCCAGAATGCTCATGTCTAGACCAACCCACCAGTCTCACAGCCGCCGTACGTACGTTACGAGGACTCGATAACCTGCGCAGATGGCTCCCCAGACATGCACAGCAGTGGCAGCAGAATCAGCAGTAGCCTGTGAGGGCGTGTGTGTGCATGGCAGGAAGCCAGTAGATGACCTTTCCCTGCACCAGGGAATGGAAGGAGGGTTGACTTTGCTTTGCATGAATGAGAATGGGATAGGCAAGTAGCCAGCTAGGCATTCGCAAATGTAGTCGCAGAGATTGCTATGGCATGTGACAATCGCATTGTAATCACATTGCATCCTGGACCTCAGGTGCTGCTCTCTGACACTGACAGGCACCGACTCTGTCTCGTTTGCGATAAGGAAAGCTCCATTGTAGGAAGGATTTAGGCTTCTCCGCTGAATAGGGCCTTAGGGTACGATTGAGCCCAGTCTTAACTGTGACCTTCAACAACGGTTATGCCAGTCTCTCCTTACCGGTGGCAGAGCATGACAGTGCCGCAACGCAGCGAGGTTGCAGCCAGCACGCCTGCCACGCCGCGCCATCGTCAACAACATGCCCATCTCTCTCTGCTCGTGTGAGCTCTTCCACTGGCGGCGCCATAGTGAGGCGTGTCTACCTTTTTTCGCCCGTGCAGGGCCTTGCAGGTTGATATCATAGAGACGCGGCCGGCGCCTCCCATTCCCAGCACTTGTGGTTGGCAACGCGGCATGCTGGACACGACCTCGAATCAGACGACCACGCAACTGAGAGACCATCACTTGTGGGCACATGAAGCGGCGCACTGGTGCAGCGGCAAAGTGGAATCCGCTCCTGTCCACATCTGGAGCATCGACTACGCTGGATTCGCGACGACTACGGACGCATCAAGACTACGCAGGCTCGCTAACAGGGAACTAGTCACTGATTATACCGTAAATTAAGGGCGAATAACTTCTGCGTGACCATCAACGGACACGGCGCCTATGGCGACAGTTGTGATTGTCGGAATCTCCTCGAAATACAAGTCGCTAACCCTAAAATGCACGCTGTTCCGTTTGCGAGCGTTGCGTTATCAAGGCTGTCAGGGCGTGTAACTTCTATAATCATGTCAGAATGTTATGAAAGAGTGTGGAAGTCAACATTGAAGAGTAGTTATATATAGTGTTACATAACATCCTTCAAACGAGAACAAGAGTAACCCTCGCTGGGCAGGGAGCTCTGAAGTAAGGGCGTGTGCACTAGTCCTCTAAATTGTGGAAATCTAACTTTAAAATCGAATTGTCATAATTGTTGTTATTCGAACACCCTTTAGTCGAACTCGTGGCTTTGGCGCGAAGCCTTGTAAGAATAGCTTGGGCACTTAAAATTAACCCACTTCCAAGGTTCGAACAAGTCGTCGCACGCTTCATTTTTGTACAGCGTCGTCATCATCGTATTAAATGTGATTGGGTTGGGTTTGACACGTCAGCATGTCGTAAGCATCGCAACGTCGCACAAGTTGGTGTCAAACTATATATGTGTTAGTTCTGTGTAGCCTATAGTGGGGTAGCCCATATGGGGTACAACCCGAAGTTAGGGTTAGTACTTGTACCCACATTTCATTCAATGCAATCATTCCTGCTTGTTATCTTGACATGGTTTCAAAGCAGTAGGTCCGTAGGACCGTTTTTCTTTCGGGCCCACCACACTTAGCCCCCGACTGCAGTTACCGCGTTACCCCACTACCCTACGTCGCGCTGCCCCGCGCATGTGAAGAATGAGGAATGAATGAACTAGCAAGCAGGTGGGTACAAGTAGGAAAACCTAGAAATGTTGTACCCCATATAGTCTACCCCACTACAGCCTACACAGACTATAGCATATAAGTTTGACACACCCCCATAGGCAAAGTGGGGGAGAACAAGAGGTCACAAGACCAGTCAAGCAAAGCAAAGCAAGCTCAGGGTGGATCACAACGTCACCACACAATCCGAGCACAAGAGCAAGGCCAAAAGGCCAGTTCACATGCAAGATCATATATAAAGGTAAACAGGCAAGTGCATGTATAGAAAGATCACAGTACAAACAAGGTCAAGAAGTGAGCAAGTGAGGCCAATTAGGCACAAGACCTAGCATCGTACAGAAGCGCTGATGATCACCAGGCGGAAGTGCCTTGGTAAAGATATCAGCAGTGTTGGCCTCAGAGGCCACGTAAGCAAGGCGCAGCTGGCCACGCTGCTGCAGCTCACGAGCAAGGAAGTAGTGAAGAGCAATGTGCTTCGTTCTGTGCTCCAGTCTGTGCTCCCGACACAAGGCCAGCATGGCCTTGTTGTCTACGTACAGAACTGGAGGAGAACGAGGCGGCTCTCCTAGGTCAGTCAGCAGGTAGGTGAGCCAGCGTAGCTCCTGTGCAGCCATGGCCCCCGCGTAGATCTCAGCCTCACAGCTGGAGCCGAGAACAGAAGACGAGCGGGTAGACCGCCAAGAAACAGAGCCGGAGCCAAGGCTGAAGGTGTAACCCTGTGACGACCGCTGCGTAGCCTGGTCGTCAGCCCAAGAAGCGTCTGCGTGACCTGTGAGGACCACTCGACGTCACCCTCCAAGCACTAGCCCCATGCCCGACGTACTGCACAAGTAGCGCAACACCCTCTTCGCTGCAGCCATGTGCTCTGGTCGGTGTCTCCCAGGAGCAACATAGCGTGCCAAGATGCTAAGAGGGTATGCAAGGTCAGGTCGTGTACAGGTCATCAGGTACATGAGGCAGCCAACAAGCTCTGGGTACGGGCCACTCGGCTCTACGGACTCATCCGAAGGCAGAGCTGAGAGCGAGTGGCGAGTAGACAGAGGAGTGGCCTGAGGCGAGGAGTACGTGAAGTCGAAGCGCTGAAGGACCTGCTGCACCATGTGTGACTGAGTCAGGGTAATGGTGTGCTGTGCTCTGTCCCGGGTGATCTGCAAGCCAAGATAGCTGCGCAGTTCACCCAGGTCTGTGCACGTGTGTCTCTTCTGCAGCTCAGACTTCACGTGGGCGAGTCCAGCAGTGTCAGCAGTGGCAAAGACCAAGTCGTCGACGTACACGAGGATGTAGAATGGCGGCAAAGAGGTGTCGGTGCGCAGAAACAGCGACGGGTCGGCTGTAGAAGGAGCAAACCCAAGAGCCGCAAGTGTAGTCCTCAGTGTGTCGTGCCACTCACGGGGCGCCTGGCGGAGACCGTAGGCTGGCCGCCGGAGGCTCCACTGGGTACCAGGAGGAAACGACCCAGTGAAGCCAGGTGGGCGGCGCAGCCAGATCTCCTCGTGCAGGCTGCCCTGCAGGAAAGCTGTGCTGAAGTCAAGAGAGTGAAGCTCGTAGTCACGCTGAGCGGTTATGTGCAGCAGCACCCGAAGAGTGGTCATCTTCGGGGTGGGAGAGAAGGTCTGAAAGTAGTCAACTCCCTGCCGCTGACTGAAGCCTCGAGCCACGTAACGCGCCTTGAAGACAGGCGGAGAACCCGGCGGCCGCTTCACCCTGAAAATCCACATGCCACTGACGATGTTCGCCCCAGGTGGGGGAACCTCGTCGACGTAGGTGCCTGTGGACTTCCAGGAAGCCATCTCTGCGTCCATGGCTGACTGCCACTGTGAGGAGTAGGGACCCTCGATCGCCTCAGCGTACGATCGAGGAGTCGGGATGTCTGGTGCATCCGGGTCTCCCTCAGGGGCAATCAGCGTGGACACGAGATGAGGCAAAGCAGCAGCAAAACACTGGAACTCCTCCTGCCTGTCCTCAAGGACGTCAGTGCTAAGAGCACACTCACCCCCGACGGACGGAGGACAGACAGACTCAGACTCAGCAACAAGACTAGCGGCGTAGTCTAGACGACAGCGAGCAGCAAAGTCGACAAGCTCAGCAACCAAGGCAGACGCAGCAGTGGACTCAAAGGAAGGGTCAGTGACAACAGTAGCCAGGAGACGCGTGACAGTAGGACTGGCAGCACGAAGAGAGTCAGACTTCGGGTCAGCAAGAACAGGAAGAGAGGACTCTGGAGGAGACGGCAACGGGACACGCAGAGGAGCAGTGGAAGGACGCAGTGCCATCTGGTGTGTGCCTGGGACCGCAGGAGGACGCGGACGCGAAGCACGACCACTAGTGCGAGCAGCATGAACAGGCGACGCAGGACGAGACGCAGGCTCACGACGCTCAACAAGACCTCCAGTAGGACCAGTGTAGGGAGAAGGAGCAGGTAGGGGGGAGGCGGGCTGTAACTGTGACCGCGACTGGACAGGCTGTCGACACTCTAAGGGAGGAGCAGGACCAGTAGAGGGCGGGAGACCAAGAACCTGCTCAAGGAGCGGAACGAAGTACGGCCTCGGCCGCGCAGCGCCTCCAGAACCAGCAGGGACAGCACCAGTACCCCCAGCGGCAGCACCAGCGCCAGCAGCACCTCCAGCTCCAACAGCGCCAACTCCAGCACCCTCAGACGCACCAGCGCCAGCAGAACCACCAGCGCCAACACCCCCAGCAGCTCCAGCTCCAGCAGCTCCAGCAGCTCCAGCAGCACCAACGCAAGCAGGACCGGCAG